CATATATGAAATAACCCCCATATAGCATACATGAATCACCTCGTAGCAGATCTATACAGGTGGAGCTGGGGAAGGTGGAGGGTTTCTGAAGCAAGCTGAAGAAACTGCTACGGCAAGCACCAGTCATATATTTAAATGTTGAGCTGCGAGCTCATTGGCTACCGATACAGGAGAGAGCCAATCAGCTGTGCCATGTGATAATGATGTCATTAGGTCAGATTGAGTTAGACCTATCGGACTGCGCCATCTAGAGTTTCATGCCAGAGCTCTGTATTTAGCAAGATGTCTTGCAGGTTAAGCTAGTTAACCTGGTAAAGCACCAGCATCACAAACCCATTGTACACTGGGCTGATAACAGACGCTCTGTGTGTGTGTCAGATAACCGTCAGGGCTTCTGCTTCCTGGAGGTTCTGCAGACCATGTGTCAGATGAGTTCCAGCAGTCGCGTCAGCGTTAGGAAAAAGAAAGACATGAACATCTTGGACGACAAGGGGGTGAGTACATTATCTGTCAATTTGTGTTCTGGAAGTGAACTACTCCTTTAAGGTTTCTCTTTTTACATTTCTTAATTTAAAAATGTTTTCCTCTTCTAATTGCTCTATTGTTTGTACAGCACTATGGTCAACGTTGGTGTTTTATTCAGTGCTTTAGAAATAAACTTGAACTTTGTGCACAGATCTGAACGAATGCACGGCCAAACCGGGCATCTGTGAGAACGGCCGCTGCGAGAACACGGTGGGCAGTTACCGCTGCGTCTGCGATCAGGGCTTCAGTCCCAGTCCCAGCAGGACCGAGTGCATCGGTAAGAGTTACGCTTGCATGGACATCAGTAATTTACCTTATTATAAATAAAACAATATTACGATTAAGCTGTTTCAAAGCTGGTCAAAGTGTCTGAATAATTTTTGGTCCCAAATTTTACTGGTATGAAGAATTTTTGGCTGATAACAGACGCTCTGTGTGTGTGTCAGATAACCGTCAGGGCTTCTGCTTCCTGGAGGTTCTGCAGATCATGTGTCAGATGAGTTCCAGCAGTCGCGTCAGCGTTAGGAAGTCCGAGTGCTGTTGTGACGGGGGCCGCGGCTGGGGGCCCAACTGTGAGCTCTGTCCGCTGCCCGGGACCACGCAGTACAAGAAGATGTGCCCGCTGGGCCCCGGATACACCACCGACGGCGAGGGTAACACCGACGGCTCGCGTGTTTGTGCTGCTGAGTGTGTGTTTGCGTGTGGATCTGTGGATGATCTGTGTGTGCTCTGCAGATATCGACGAGTGTAAGGTGATGGGGAATCTGTGCAAGAACGGCCAGTGTCTGAACACGCTGGGCTCCTTCAGCTGCGTCTGTAAACCCGGATACACCACTGACATCAGCGGCACGCAGTGTGTGGGTGAGTCAATTCTTACTTTTACTCAAGTAAAAGTAATTCAAACATTTACTTGAGTACAAGAAAGTACTACATTTTAAATGTTCTTAAGTATTAACGGTAAAAAACACAACAACTTTTATTTATGAAATGTAGTGCAGAAAAAAGTGTCTCACACTCACACAGACGTGTTTTTGACTGTATTAGTGAGCACAGTTCCAGACATTTCTAATGTTAACTATAACAGCAATAATTGTAAAGATAAATATAGTGAACTAATAACTATAACCATGACTATAAACGACATCTATAGTGATAATGATAACTACAGCAACAACTATAACAATAACAATAATAGCTACAACGATAACTATAACAATAAACATAGTGATAACTACAGCAATAGCTAATAACTGCAAACATGACTATAAACGATAACTATAGTAATAACAATAAGTATAACGATAACTTTAACAATAACTATTAGAATTATGAAAATATATATTGCGATGACTATAATGATAACAGTGACTACAACAAGTATACGATAACTACAGAGAAAAATATAACGATAACTGATAACTATAACCATGACTATAATAATAATTATAGCAATAACTATAATAGTAACTAAAATGAGAACTATAACAATAAAAGATACAGATGACTATGATAAACTATTATTATAATGATATAACTATAACTACAACAATAACTATAACGATGACTATAACAAGAATTATAACGATGACTATAGCGAAAACTGTAACAATAACTATAGCGAAAACTATAATGATAACTATAACAATAACTCGCACAAATAAATGTTTGTTTCACTGTATCAGTGAGGTCAACTCATAGACTTTCATTGTTTTCTGTCAGGTTAATGATATTTTCTGTGCCCTAACCTGACCTCTGACCCCTGACCCCTAGACATAACCATCAGAGAAACCTGTCCAAATACTAGATTTTAATGCAAATGTGATTTGCAGGTTTATGAGCATTTTAAATAGTAAGGACACATTAAATGTCTTCAGAAGTCACTATATTAGTGAGCAGATTTGGCTAAACCTGGTCTTGTGTGTGTGTGTGTGTGTGTGTGTGTGTGTGTGTGTAGATGTGGACGAGTGTGTTCAGGCTCCTAAACCCTGTAACTTCATCTGTAAGAACACGGATGGCGGATATCTGTGCTCCTGCCCGCGAGGATACGTGATGCAGGACGATGCCAAGAGCTGCCGGGGTAAAATACACACACACAGACACAGACACACAGAGAGAGAGAGAGCGGTTAGTGAGTCTAGACTAAATCTGACTTCCTCCTGCCCCAGATAAGAGATAAACACACACAAACACACGGCTGATTAAACACACATCACATTAACGACACACGGCTCATTATTTACACCGGTGCAGCATTACACCGACAGTCTCAGAGCTCAGGTTCACTGGCGGGACAGCGTGCACACGTGAGTGTGTGTGTGTGTGTGTGTTCTGACTCTGCACACTCGCACACACACACACACACATGCACTCAAACACATGTGATACTCTTGGATATTTGTGTTTAGGTTATTATTTATTCTTTTGAGATAATTTTATCAGATATTATTTTATTTGTTTTTTTTTTCTATTAAAATTTTTCAGTTGTATTTATTTTATTTATATAGTATATATTTTTATTATATTTATTTTGCCCTTTCTTTTACATTTCACTTTCTAATTTTATTTTGTGTTTATTTTGTAGTTTGTAAGTTCGTCATATTGTTCAGTTGATTGTAATTTGAAAGCCATCTTGTTGTAATAATGATAGTGTAGTATCATTTAATAATTCATCATTTTCATAAATATTTGTATTCGTTTTTTTATATTTTCCATTTTTTATTTTACATTTAGTTAAAGATTTAGTAATTTTGTTGTCTTTGTGATTTTTATTATTATTTTTTTTTATGTCTATGTAGTTTTTTAAATTTTAGTTAGGGTTAGTTTTAGTACTTCAAGGTAAACTAAATGAAAATAAGATGTGTTGCCTTTGCAACTAGCTACAATAAGTTTGTTTTAGGGTTAGGTTAGGTTAGGTTTTATATTTTATTTTATTTTTATTTTATTTTATATGTTTTATATTTTATTTTATTTCAGTTAACTCCAGTTAATTTCAAGTAACGAAAATGTTTTTATGGTTTTACTTTAAGATAATAATGATGGTAAAATAGAAAAAAAAAAAGGTTTTAGCACAATTTCATGTCAACTTGGAAATTCAGTCCAGTTAATTTCAGTGTTTCCTGAAAGGATACTGCGAACTAGTCTTGAGCAGATGTTGAGCAAGGCACTCTGATGATGATGTCACGTCTGCCGCTCCAGCTGTCTGGTGCCACGGTGACCCAGCTCTCAGTTGTTATGGGATGTACCGGTTCTGTTGCCGTGGTTACAGCAGCTGGTGTTTAGATGTGATCCATTAGCTGAAGTAAACAGCTGTAAAACACAAACCCAGCACTGTGTCCTCAAGCGCTTCCCTTTCCTGTCTCGACACTAATATCATAATCAACATTCATAGTTCATACAGTGATGAACTGTGTGTGTGTGTGTGTGTGCGCGTGTGTGTGCGCGTGCGTGCGTGTGTGTGTGTGTGACAGATAATAATGAGTGCAACACTGAACCGGGTCTCTGCGGTCCGAATGGAGTGTGTCAGAACAGCCCCGGCAGCTTCAACTGTGAGTGTCAGAGAGGATTCGCCCTTGACCCCAACGGACAGCACTGTGAAGGTACACACTCTCACACACACACACACACACACACACACACACATATGCACACACACATCAGAAGGTCTCACTAATACGGTGTGTGTGTGTGTGTGTGTGTCAGACATGGACGAGTGTGTGGGGAATCATCGCTGTCAGCACGGCTGTCAGAATCTGGTGGGCGGCTATTCCCAACCCTAGCTATGACATCACAAAATAACTCTATATGTATTTCATTGGAACATTAAAACAACTCTTTCCACTTCTTGTGGACTCGTCTGTCCATCTGTCTTTCTGTCTGTCTGTCCGTCCGTCCGTCTGTCTGTCTCTCTGTCTGTCTCTCTGTCTGTCCGTCCGTCTGTCCATCTGTCTGTCTGTCCGTCCGTCCGTCCGTCTGTCTGTCTCTCTGTCTTTCTGCTGAGTATTTTTTCCTTAAATATGTAGTTTCCCAAAGGCAGTCCCAGAAACGCGGTTTGAAACAGCCCTCGGTGTGCTACGTAACAAAATTCAATAACCAATCACATCAAAGGATAGATTCCTATCATTATCATATGCCTCTCTCCATTTATACAAACGCAGAGCGCATAGAGATCATAGCATAGAGATCGCATGCAAAATATACCAATAGGATTACCAGCACAAAAACAAAAATAAAATAGAGCAAAAACCCATGAAGCTGTGGTTTAACATGAATTTAGAACCGCTAACTTGAATAATAACCCGCGGCAACAGTGTAAAAGTAGCCCGGAGTCAGACCCACCTCTCCCGCATCGGCGTCCGCTCTTCACACGCATTGCTCACGGGCGCGAATTGAGAATCACAAACTTGGCTGCATTTGAGGACACAACATCGTCAAATAAGTAACTTAAACGACTGTTACAGTATCCACTGTAGTTGTCCGCTAGTAAAAACATAGTTTTATCAGTCATTATCCGTGGATCAGGAGGCGCTGGCTGGTGTGAGTGAGTGGAGGCGGGGCTAATTTGCATATTCATAGATCCGCGTATACTAAATGAGGCAAGGGTGTAGAGTTACATTCAAGCTCTTTTAAGGCATGAGAAAATTATTTTCACAAGAAAAAACATTTAAATATGTAATTTTGATGATCACAGACGAGTTTTAAGGGATACCATTTTTGACTACAGGGGGACTTTAAGATTACTGAATGGCAGGTCCAACACAAAAAATGTTTAGTGAAGTTTTGTTTACACCTCAACTGAAAAAAGCACAGAATAAAACATTTAAGAATCAATATCAGTTCTTAAAATAAGAATCAGTTTAAACAGAACATTGATACTGTTCAACACAGCCTGAGTGTGTGTGAGGTTGTTTCCCATCATCCTGTGTGTGGTCTGTCGGTCTGTGACTGACGCTCTTCCTCTGCTGATTAAAGTCTCCTGATCTTTGGTGTGAATCCAGCTGGTCCTCGTGCTCCTGCAGACGGTGCGTCTGCACTGTGGGAACCGGCCCGACCTTTGACCCCGTGTGTGTCTGTGTGTCCAGATGAGAACGAGTGCCAGAACGGTCAGATATGCGGCGGCGCCTCGTGTCACAACACGCTGGGCAGTTTCCGCTGTCTGTGTCCGACGGGCTTCGCCTTCGCACGCACACACACACACTCACTCACTTACTCACACAGACACACACACTCACACACACACACACACACTCACTCACACAGACACACTCACACACACACACACACTGTAGCAGACATGAGCAGAAACTCTCATCTTCCAAATTTTAAGGAAACTCTGTCGCCCCCTTCAGTACTAAACTGTTACTGCCACATTGACATGATGTACCAGTGGTGTTATTACTAACTAAAACTAGTGAAAATAATTTTTGGTAATTGAAATAGAATATAAATACTAGATCAAAAAACTCAAACTTGGAAAAAAAAAAAAGAAATGTTGCCTTTGCAAGTAACTGAAATAAGTTTAATTAGAAGTTCCAAAATTACTAAAACAGATTATTATAACTAAACTAAAAATAGAAATAGAAATATTAAACCCCCAAATTGAATAAAAAATTACAAAACCACAAAGCAAAATATAATTTATTTGAAATTAAAATAAAAACTCAAAATATAAAAATAAAAGCAACTTTGAATATGAATAAATACTGTAATCGTTTATAAATTGTACTGAATTGTCACATGATGTACACCAGTGCTGTAGAAGTTCAACTATTGAAAATGTTTTTTGGTGATTTAAATGAAATATAAATATAGCATGAAAAAATGCAAATGAAAACAAAAAATCTGAAAATAAAAGCTTATCAAAATATTACTAAATACTATGGTGGTATGTAAATAAATAATTTTTAGTACCAAAAAAGTAAAACTTAAAAATTGTTTTCGGTAACTAAAATAAAATATTAGACTCAAATGTAAAAAAAAAAAAAAAAAAAAAAAAAAATTATGATATTATGGCATCAAACTGAACAAGTAGTAAAGCTGAAATTATTAAAAATTGTTTTTGGGAATTTAAATAAAATAAAATATTAGATATGTAAACTAAATAATATAATCTCAAATTTAAAAAAACTTAAATTAGAAATGTTGTCTTGGCAACAAACTGAATAAAATTAATTTGAAGTACTAAGACTGAAATGAAAATAAAGCAAAATAGAATTATTAAAAACAAAAACTAATAAAAATGTCAAAACCAAAAAAAATCAACTAAAATTATTAAACCCAAAAGTAAAAAAAAAAAAAAAAAAAAAAAAAAAATTATGATATTATGGCATCAAACTGAACAAGTAGTAAAGCTGAAATTATTAAAAATTGTTTTTGGGAATTTAAATAAAATAAAATATTAGATATGTAAACTAAATAATATAATCTCAAATTTAAAAAAACTTAAATTAGAAATGTTGTCTTGGCAACAAACTGAATAAAATTAATTTGAAGTACTAAGACTGAAATGAAAATAAAGCAAAATAGAATTATTAAAAACAAAAACTAATAAAAATGTCAAAACCAAAAAAAATCAACTAAAATTAAAATAAACTTTAAATATAAAAATAAAACTAATTTTAAATATTTTAAATACTCTAATAGTACAGAAATAATACTATAAGAACACAAAAGCATACATCAGGACTACTGTAGTTTCCTACTTGATAAACACATCAGTAAATGCACATCTGTGTTCTGCTGATTCTGATGTTTTGTGGTGTGTGTCTGTGTGAGTGTGTCTGTGTGTGTGTGTGTGTGTGTCTGTGTGTGTGTGTCTCTGTGGTGCGTGCGTGCGTATGTGTATGTGTGTGTGTGTGTGTCTCTGTCTCTCAGGCACTGTCTGTCGGGCGCGGGGCTGTCGGCTGGATCTCCTCACACTCCCGCCGCTGATGGAGACGAGAACGCTCTCTCTCCCGAGGCCTGCTACGAGTGTAAGATCAACGGTTATCCGAAGAAGGGCCGCAAACGCAGGAACGCCAACGAAACCGAGGAGCTTCAGGTAATCCAGCGCTCACTGAGCTCTTATAACCTTTAAAACCACAGATTGTAAACATCTAAATGTGTAAATGCATAACTATCTTATCCTAACTAACCAAAACTCAAGACAAATACATTGATGCAGAAAATTCAGATGTGAATGAACTTTAAACCCCACAGAGGTGCATTACATGAGTGACGCACAGCAGTGCTGTGAAATCATGTATGATGTCCATTCACTCCTTCTGCTGCTCAAATTCACAGAAATGATCAAATCAGTGCTCACAACAACACAGACACGTTCTGAAGATGAGAGAACTGTTCAGAGCGTAGTGCTGGGAACTTGTGGATTCAACTCCCCGCGAACGCGTAGCCTGATCAAATTTAAACCTTGAATGCAATGTAAGATAAAAGCATCTGCCAAATGCATGAATGATAATGCCAAATATACATTTTTTAAATGGTGGTTTATCATTTATTCATATAATAACATAATGATCTAACTCTAATTGCAATCAGAATGCTAAAAAAATAAAATCCATATAAATTTAAATCCAGATGTAAACTGAAATCATATTTATTTTTCCCCATCAGAAAACTTTTTTTTTTTTTTTTTGGAAGAACATACAGTTTTTAAAATGTCTGGAATCACAAAATAATCAACACTCCCAGTTTTCGGTCCATAACGAAGTTTAAAATCAAGCAGCTTTGTTATAATTACTGCAGAAATAATAAAAATATCTTCTTTAGAGTATTGTGTTGGAAGCTGGAAGCTGCAATATATTACTCATTACTAGTTACTTCTTTCAAAAGTAATATTATTACTTATTACTTTCTGACAACAGTAATTAGTTACACTACTAGTTACATCACATTGGATCGCAGTCAGAAGCTATATATATATATAAATTCACTGTAAACCACGGCTTCACGGGG